TGTGGGGGCCACTCTTCAACCCGCCACACTGGAGAAAGATAGTCTGTGCTCAGTTGAGGCGTATGGGATTGAAGAGCGATTTTACCTTCTCTGCTTCTCATCCTCTCTGCGTAACTTGCTCCGCTCTCTGGAATTCCTACCTGTGTCTGACAAACTTTTCCTGCAGGGAAAATGACTCTTAGCTGCTAGAGTGTGATTGGAAGTGAAACAAAAGGCCACCAGACAGTTGGAGTGGAATTAGGTGGAAGAACAGAAGGTGAATAATTCAAGCCGCTTTGCCAGGGGAAGGGGGACTCTTAAAGGAGCCTAATTATGCTCTTTCCTAAGGGAGGCCAGTCCTGAAATGAACCTTGTGAAGCAGTTTTTCAAGTAGGATTTAGGCGGCTATCATGAAGCAGGGGTGGGGCCATCTGCAGTTAGTCCTGGAAAGGAAAGGGTCCAGACCCTCATTTTGCAGATGGGGAAACCGAGGCTTGCAGAATGGAAATGATGTCCCAATGAGAGCCAAGACCAGATGCCCAGCCGGGGGTCCCCAGCTTCTGACCTGGTGCTGGTCCTGCCAAAGTTAAAGCCGCCGAGTGTAGTCACAGGGCCAAATGCTTCAAAGTCTACACACGGGGGGCCACGATGTGAGGCAAAAAGGTGTGTTTGCGGTAGCTGAGTTTGGGCATAATTCTTGTGCCCCGGAGGCTTCTCCCACAGCTACTTCCCTTGTCAGGAGTCCATCTTCAGGCCCCTGTGTTATGATGGATTGAGGGAGCGCCAACAGGGACCGCCCCACTCGGTAATTAATTCCTTTTGCAAAGGGCTGGGTTGCAGGCCCGGGTAGGTCCTATGGCCACCTGAGCCAAAGTCTTGGAGAGGTGGCCAGGGACCGGGTAAGCATGAACCCAGCCCAGTGCCCACACCCTGGAGGGTGCTGTGCTGCCCAGAGGTTCTGGGCACGGCTCTGGGCTCTGGAATTCAGAGGCTCGGGACTGCTTGCCTCCCCAGGGAGCTCTTATCTTGGGGACCTTGTTGTGGGGGACCTGCCATGACAGTGATTTTGCTCCTTCTGCGGGGTGATGTGGATGCAGGGCCTCTGTGTCTCACATGATTGTTTCACATCACCCACCCTATCCAAAGACAGAGAAACAGCAGGAGAGATTCCCCTGTGATGGCTCCCCCATGGTCCTGGGCTGTTGGTGGGACCCAGGTTTGGGGGACTTTCTCTCCCCAAAGTCAGGCCCTCGATCCCTTTGCCTTTGGGGACTCTGTGTCCCCAGCCTATACATGGGGTGCTCGATTGAGTGTCCGTGCCCATCAGCCGGCCCTGGGTTGCTGTGGCTCGGGTATGTTTGCCACAGGGCTACAGATGTAGTGGAGCCCTGCGTACTTTTATTACTTACTTAATTAATTAATTTATTTTTGAGATGGAGTCTTGCTCTGTTACCCAGTCTGGAGTAGGTAACCTCTGCCTCCCAGGTCAAGCAATTCTGCTGCCTCAGCCTCCCAAGTAGCTGGGATTTCAGGCACACACCACCACACCTGGCTAATTTTGTTTGTATTTTCAGTAGAGATGGGGTTTGGCATGTTGGTTAGGCTGGTCTCAAACTCCTGAGCTCAGGTGACCTGCCCCCCTCGGGCTCCCAAAGTGCTGGGATTACAGGTGTGAGCCATGGCGCCTGGCCTCCTACATGCTTTGAAAAGTTCTGAAACATTCCCAGGTGGGAAAGGAAGGAGCATTTGGGTGGACACTGAACCTGTCGGGGGGCGCAGGTTTTGCAGTGGTAGCAAACAACCTGAAGATCTCTGAGGCTTCAAACACCGACTTCAAACCTCCCACTCACACTGCAAATGTGTCCATCACAGGCTGGCTTCGGTGCGATCTCACTGCAGAGGGAACGGTATCACAGCAGACCACGCGCTGGCTCTCAAAACTTCAGCCTGGAAGTAACATGCCTCACTTGTCTATTCATTGGCAGAAGCAACAAGCCGCTGGCCACTCTGGGTCCTGAAAGGCCGAGGGAGAGGTCTCCCCTGGGAGAGAACCTGGAATATTCAAGGAACGCCCTGTGTGTCAGCATTTGACTTCATCCCACTGAGTCCTCCTGAACCCACTGTGCCCCATGAGTTATAACCCCAGGAAATACGGCGACAGTGCGTGTCCTGGCGACACAAGCAGAACTCACGTGGGACCCGCATTCCCGGGCACTTCTGTTGCTGCCAAGCCTCCCGTGGCTTCTGTGTGTCTCAGGGTGTGCAGAGAGAATTTAGCCCCTGTCTGCCCTGCCTCTAGTGCACATTATCCATGGGCTGTGACATTTCCATGGGCTGTGAATATGTGTGACATTTCCTCAGTGGCTGCACTTTTTCTCTGGATCCCATTTAAGTGAAGTTCAGTAAGGACCTGAGAGCTGCCCTGAGTGGGTAGCATGTGCTGGAACGCCATGGGAGGCATTTGGCCCGCGAGGGCAGGGCTGCCGGGCGGGCACTGGTGAAATCAGCGTGGCAGGAGGAGGGCTGTTTTCTCCCTTGGCCTTCAGTATCATTTTTCATTATTTAATCACTGCTTCTTTTCATACTGGAAAACTGTAGTTTCCTGGGAAACCAGCCAGGCAGTGATGACAACTCGTTTTTCCCTCTTTATTTTTATGTGATTCTCAGTTTCTGGTTAATGATGTGCTTCCGGGAAGCAAGATTTGAGCACGAGCACAGAGACCCTTGTGAGTGCTTTCTGACTGCACAGATCAGCCATTATTTTTTCCTGGCATTTTATAAACCCTCGTGTTTAGAGAGGTCGGAAAATACTGCTTTCTTTTTTTTCTTTTTTTTTTTGAGACGGAGTCTCGCTCTGTAGCCCAGGCTGGAGTGCAGTGGCCGGATCTCAGCTCACTGCAAGCTCCGCCTCCAGGGTTTACGCCATTCTCCTGCCTCAGCCTCCCGAGTAGCTGGGACTACAGGCGCCCGCCACCTCGCCTGGCTAGTTTTTTGTATTTTTTAGTAGAG